TTTCTACGGGATGGGGACGCTAACCCCATGCCCAACCCTCCTCCTTTATCCGGGCTTGGGACCGGCAGTAGCCCCCGGAGAGACTTCAGGCGGAGTTACTTCACTTGTTTAGTATTGTGTAAATGTTGTTTTCTATTTTTATGGTACGATGTGGTCTGCTTGATTAGTATATAAACAGAGTGTTTGAAATATAATGATTCATATTTCAGAGGCTGTGACTCAACTGGCTGGGATAGACAGCGAAGCAGGGCCAATCGGGACTCTAGGTCGTTCATTACGTGTTTACTTGTCACCGAATCGACCGATATGTACACTGCTTATCAAAACCTGCAGCCATCCGTTACAACAGTGCTTAAGGCTCTTAGCACCTTAAACATGGAGAAGTCAACAGGACCAGATGAACTACACCCCAAAATCTTGAGGCGTTTTGCTCAATATATCGCGGTCCTACTGACTGTGATATTCAATATGTCACTTGACCAAGGTGTATTACCTATAGACTGGAAGGACGCAATCGTCACTCGCATACATAAAATAGGACCAAGACAACTTCCATCGAACTATATACCTGTAAGCCTCAACAGTGTTGTAGTTAAAATATTGGAAAGAATAGTCGAACGGACCATAATGGCATTCATGGAAACCAATAACATGCTAAATATAGAACAACATGTTTTTAGAATAGTCTGTCGTGTACAACGGACCTCCTCATAATAAGGAAAGCTTGGATAAAGGCGCTAGACAATGGAAACTCAGTGGACATTGTCTAAATAGACTTCAGTAAGGCTTTTGACAAGGTGCCAACAAATAGACTGATATTGAAGTTGGAAAACCTTGGTATTGCCGGACCTCTTTTAAAATGGATTAAGGATTTCCCAGTAGGTCGTAGACAGAAAGTAAGAATAAATTCCAAGTGCTCCATCTAGAGACCAGTACTTAGTGGAGTACCTCAATGTTCCGTCCTAGGTCATTTACTTTTAAAATGTATGTTAATGATCTTCCAAGTATAGTACAGTCTCCAATGCTATTATACGCTGACGAGTAATAACTGGAGACGTAGCCGCATGTGCTCTTCAGGCAGACTTGACTAATATGAGTGGCTGATGCCTATCAACGTGGCTAAGTGTGACTACATGAGTTTTGGAGAGTCAAAGGTCATATGATGCAACATAGGGGAAGTGTTTTTACCCGTGGTTCGGTCTCATGGGGATCTAGGAGTGACAGTGAGTTGTGGTCTTAAGACGACGGCCATCGCCGGGAGGTCGCAGCTAAAGAGTTTCGAACCCTTTGTGCCTTAAAACGGACACTCACTAAGTTAGATACTACAATGTTCGCTACAGTATGCACATCCTTGGTGAGAACTAAGCTTGAGAACTGAGTTAAGGCTGCAAGCCTCTTGTTTAAAAGGTGACTCGGATATCTTAGAAAAATTACAGAAGGCAGCTACCCGTGCAATTCCAGAACTCCGAGGTTTACAATACAAAGACCGGCTCGTAAAGCTGGACCTCTTTACTCTGTCCTAATGCGGAATAAGGGGAGATCTAATTTTGATGTACAGAATACTGAGAAGTTATTTTGGACCTAACTTATTCTCTCTTTTTCCTCCCACTCGATCGGAACATTTCAGGGGACATAGCAGTCGAGTAGAAAAGCCAAGAACGAACAAAATACCCGTGGCATATAGGTTTTCACATTGAGTCATCAGTACTTAGAACCTGCTGCTCAAAGCAACGGTGTCCGCACCTTCAATTGACTCTTTCAAGAGAAGACTGGACACTCACAGAAGCATGCTAGAAAAGGAATAACATAGGCCATAGGCTTTCTGTCCTTACTACACAAATCTGAATCTTGATGCTGATGGATATAATGATGTATAGAACCTGGCCGGCAAATGAAGCCAGTTTGTTTACTGCGTTATTTGGAATTTGGACAAGAACTGCCTGCACCTCTAGAAGAAGCTCACAAAAGATAAGTTACATACACGGGCCCTCACCATAGGTCTGCTGGACAGTGGTCTTCCGAATAGGTAGCAATATATCTGATGCTGCGTCGTGTTGCAACTCGCCGTTATGGAAAAGCTCGGTAAACTAGACATGAATTTTGTTCAATCAATCACTGTGACATCACCTTGGTGCTAACTTCACAATGTATCTGAAAATCAGTTTTTCAAACAAATATAAATGATGGTTACATTCACCACGTGAAACGAAAATATGAAAACGACAATGTCCGATTCCTTTTGTCACAACGTAAAGAACCTAAAAAAATTTTAGTTCACGATTTTTTGTATTTGAAAACTCCCTTTGTGTGAGATTTCTTAAAGTCTTATACTTTTCAATACATGAAGATTAAGCGCACTTATTAAACATTTTTTCTGTAAGTCGCGCATATTTCGCTTTGTTCTGGTTTCGTTTTAGTTTCGACATACGTTTCATTTATTTCTGAACTGTAACCAGGTATTACGCTTGCTTGAATAACGTTACGTTATTGAGTTGCAAAGAACAAATCCTATCTTCAATAATCGATGGATTATTTCTTTTCGTTTTGTTATCGATCTTGCGAATGCTTTGTTATATACTCAAATCATTTTTTCTAAAGTCTTTTATTTTCACTCACTGAATGTTTGTTGATGCACACTAAATATTCTCAGAACTTATCAGTTTTAGTCTCGTAACGCCTCCGTTAGCACACCGCCGTCATGAAGGTTGTTACGGAAAATAGATCATAAAATTTGCACGATGAAGCAGCCACACCATTTTTGGCAGACCTAAAAGGTTTGATATTGCAAATTAATAAGATATTGAAATGAGAAATGTGGTGTTGACCGAAACAGTAAAGGGACAGCTATGAAGTGATATTGGTGAGGGGTTGGAAGTAAATGAACTCTCTGGTTATGCGTTTTTAGTTGCCCGTCTAAACTCTAGAGTTTTTAAAGCCTTCCTTCATCTTTTTAGTGATCCAACAACCCATTTACTATTTAGCCTTAGTATAAATATAGCCAATTCTTCTTGTAACACATTCATATTTATCACTATTACTGACATTAAGCCATACTGATGTTATCCGTGTGTTTGTTGGTCAGTCTCGCTTTATTTACTGAGGGTATTTTGTCTACTAGTAACATCAATTCTGAAATCTTCCAAGGCAAACACTTTCATGAATGACTTAATTTTCCAAGCCTCTGTAAAGCATGCTAATTTATTGTTCGATTGTTCTCATGGCTGGGAATTTGAGAACTTGGCCTGTACACCACACTTTGTGTTAACAGAAATCCGATCCGCTAACTAGATCATTAAGTCAGTATCTACAAGGTATTTATGACTCTTCGCAAACAATAAAAGTTCCATTTAATTTTATGAAATTCACCTAAAATACCTGAGCACCAGTGTATTACGAATACCACTGCAACTGTGTGGTATCTTATTGTGGATGAACAGTATTTCGGACTCTTACGTTCACGATAATAGTCAGAAATCTCAATTAAAGCCAAATAAACCACTTTTTGTTGGAGTTTGTGTTTTACCACTGTTCATCTTCAGAACTAGAATGATAATCATTCATCTATATATGAAAACTTTAAATTAGTAAACCTTTATTGTTGTGGGTCAAAAGCCAATAATAACTATACAGTCGTTGACTATAGAATTCTTAACATATCTTCAGTCGTATTTAGGACTTATTAACTGCATATATTTAAACCTGTGCTAATATCCGCATTTAAATTCTGACCGATAATATTGCTCAATTAGCATAATATTCACGGACTCTTTAAAGCGCTTTCATTGTCTTATCTTATGCCAAATATGTTTTTGCCTAGATAAGCATTGTGTTTTGTAAACTTAAGATTGATTTTGTGTCATACCTCTTTGTGCTTCATTTTATCTAAGTACATAGGAAATATTGTCCATTTGTATTGACACTTGAATGTTGCTTGGATAATGTTCCTTTATTCTAAATGCATTTCTTACTTTCGATCAATGTTAGGAGACCTGTTGTAAGATTATTACAGTTAGCTGTTTGTTCATTGAATTAAACATGATCCCATTGACATTTATAAGAAACGCTACCTAAAGTGAAAAAAAGTGGACTAAAGGTAGTTAGAAAAGTAACGAGAGAGTATATCGTTTTGCTGGTCACAAACTGAAAGCCAAGATACTAACTAAATTGTCAATTTTTGAAAACACAGGCAACGTTTACTCATTGTATAATACTGTTCACCAACTCGTGAAAGTTATGATATGTTAATTGATGTTTATCTAGAATAAACAGAACTAGGGTAAGAATGGTGTTTAATACTTTAAACAGTGCGTTGTCTAAATTTTCAAATGTCACAGAGCTAGTAAAACACTTAAGTAAAATGTCGGAATGCAGAGATAAAGAACAAAAGACAAATAAAAGAGAAGCAAATTCATAGCAAATAAGTTGTTTATACTTTGAAACCATGGAAAACTAATATATATTGGATGGTCAGTCACACAATAAATTGATCTTCGTCTTAAAAATATTTACTCATTGATATTTATCATGGGCAATACATTTTACATGATGTAGGCATAGTTTGTACTGAGCATGTTACCCAGAAGAACAATGAATGAGTCACCTGGGTCGGAGAATGCGATTCAACTGAAAAAGACCTCTCGTTCGTACTAATCATTCATGTTATTTTCTGTTATAATGTGTTCACTATGTATAGGGGAAACACATCCTTCACAAAAAGGATCAGCTACCTGTATCACAATAAATCTTTTTTTTAGCTTACATTTCATTTTTACTATTCAGTTAATACGATAAAAGGTGGCCAATGTTTCTAACTTTGTTTTGTAGCAACGAACTTCATCTTCTAACACAATCATTTTCACTATATATTTTAATCACACATCTGTGGGAGACGGATATTATATAGCTTTTTTTGGGAAAATACATATTGTTTTTACCTATTCATTTGAAAAGTTTTATAATAAAATAAATTCGTAAAACTGGCTTCACCTAACACAAATCATATGAAGAAGAGGTCAAGTGCTGAATACAGTGCGGGTAAGTGGTGCTTTCAAGCAATATTTATTTACATGCATAAGTTCATATATGTGCTATAAGTCAAATTGATTGAGAAGCCCTAATCTTTGATACAGAATTTTGATTGTAAAATGTTTTGGTGATCTCTGTATGCTAATATAAGGAGTAAATTGTAAAATACACTACAACAAAGTTTCTAGCTAGTTAATTCCACAATACAATTTAGTCTTACAAATACTTGAGCATCCCTGGTTGAATTGATACTTATCAACAGGTTTAGTAGTAAAAGTATTAAAGGTATTTTTAATGTTGTTTTTTCATGAGTAATAATACTAAGAGCCAAGTTTATAATGATTAAATATGCCTTGGTTACACAATTTTCAGTACGAACTTAATTCATCTTCCCTAGGTGATCACTTTAATTATTATAATAAAAATATCACAACTAAGTATCAAAATACTATAATTTTTTGGCATTATAATTAATTTTCCGGTGCTATTCCGTGTATTTCCATTTTCAACTTGTTTTGTTGTGGACCCGAACAGTTCAATAAATAGTCTGTTGTTATTATTATTCAAATGAAGAAAGGTTTATATCAAAGTCACTATGCAGATGAAAAATAATGAATATGTATATTTAAAATTATAGAAGTGTATGTTCTTTTACTCAATCAACCAGTTTGAGGTCATATGGTTCGAAGACTTTAGTTATTTCTTCAATTTATTATTATTATTAGCTTTATTCAATATTATATTTTTGGTACAATATAGAATTTTCAGCGCAAAGTATTCGCCTAACTACTATAATCAATAAAACAATACTTTGAACGACTTATGATACATATCTGAAAAAAAATTGATGACTTAGCAACATGTCATTATTTAACTGTACTAAGATATTACGTGTTCTTATCTGGACGTCAGTTGTTTAAACACAATCAAATGAATTTATATGTATATTCATCATTAGTTATGTCAAAACCATTGACCTGTGTGCCCTGCTAATGTATAACATAACGATAGTGTCAATTGGAGAGCAGTGACTTATCGATCGTATCAATGATGCAGTCTACAGTCCTTATTAGTCCTGATTCCTGTCCAGCCCTGCCTGTTAATTCCAGAGCACTAATACCAGCCTCCACGACATGAATCATGTATTTCAAGCATACGGGGTTTATATGCCAACCAAACGGACCACATCTCATCATAAACTAGTAAATAAAATTTATTCAAGATCAAGCTAAAAGTGGCTGTGAACGTGGGACGTAGTGATTAATAAACAGGGCATAATTCAAGAATGGTATATCATATAATAATAGTTCATAGGTCAAAATAAAGCTCATAATAAGAGGGACATGAATATGAATAGTTTCCTTATACGATAAAATATACGTATAGTATTAGCCCACAAATGGATCCCAACAGTTACCATTCATTATGGTTATGGAGATATAAGAATTTAAACGAATAGTTTGATTAGAATCGAGCTTTAAGAATATAGTAAGAAATAATCTGATTACTGAATATAACACTGAAATGATTGAAATCTAAATCATTAAGATGTTTTCCAGTTGTATTCATGTAAACAATTGGATAAAGTGTAAAGTTCCCTTGACAAGATTTTTATCTACTATCAAAACTTCAGATGGCATTCAATCTTTTTTTAACACCTTTTTTTGTAGTTGCTTAACAATAAAACAAAAAAGTGATTTTTTTCTATTTAAAGAAGTTACAAATTTTCCCCTTTGTTTTCATCAGCAAAAACTAATGTCCCCCCCTTTTTAAAGTAAACTTCAACTTACAATTATTATTCATATGATTTTTGTAGTGAAATAATGTACACTTTCTTATAAACACTTAAAGGATATAGAAAAAAAGGGAGAAAAATATTAGAATGGAATGTTTAACTAATTAGAAGTACAAATTAATCAATAAAAAAAGGTATCATTTAACAAAAAATGTAAATGTCCATTTACTTTTAGTCAACATTTTCTTGTCCTATTGAATAAATAAACAAAATATTATAAACCTTTCTTATTTTTAAATGAAAAGAAAAAAGCTCAGTTTAACTAAATGTTTCTCATCAGAATGGGTTTAGTAAATTCAATAGTTAACATCATGAGTTAATGGAAGCTAGACCATCATGTAAAACCTGGAAGCACCGGACAACTGTTTCGTTCTATTGTGGGATGCCTCAGATGTGCGCATCCACGATCATGCCATGTGAGATTCAAACCCATGACCTATTATTCAACATATATTCACTGGTGATTGGTTTCAAGAATTATTTTTTGGAGTTCTACTGAAAACACGTGACCAGTGGAGTTCAACCTAGTATGACTGTTGTTGGGGATGGTTGGAAGAAAGATAGGGTTGGCCAAACCGAAACGTGACATCTAGTCTTAGTCATGTTGGTAGATGAAGACTACTTGATTGGGGCCCGCGTGACTATCGTAACCAAATGGTTGGAGACTTTTGGTGACATGGCTCAGAATCAATCACAATGGCATCGGTGTATACACACGTTGTCCTCCTTTAAACTATGAGATTAAAATCACTTCACATCTTTCTTCGAACTAATGTTTCTCCTTGTTTCTTATTCTTATATACAATCCTTTTTTCTCATATATTCTTACAAGTGAAGTAACTACCCCTATGAATTTGGTGTTAATGTTGTTTTGCAAATGTTGTGTGACAATTTCGACCGATGCATATTTGTGTCTCGTCCTACATTGTAGCTGACTGATTGTTATGAGGTAGTAACTCACTGATGACAATGGCGGATGTGTCACTCAGTTTCGTGGATTGTTTGAAGTTACACGTTGATACCGTTGGATGATGGCCGGCTCAGTAGTGTAGAGGTTAAGTGGTCGCATGCGAGACCAATAGATCTTGGGTTCGAATCTCACGAGTCGTGTTCGTAGATGAACACTCCTGAGGAGTTCCACAATAAGATGAAATGTTCATCCAGTACTCTCGCTTTTTCCATGGTTGCCTACTTTCAATTGACTCATCATCTCAACTATTAAAATAATCACATTGTTAATACGTTCAATTTAGTTGAGTTCATGTTTAGAAATAATTAAAGTTGAACAACAAAAAAATAATGGAAATTAATTTGTTCTTAAAAATCTTTTCTTTTTCAACCGAATTAAATTAACTTATTGATTATTTTAATGAATCTTATAGACTCGTTAAAATAATTAAAATCAAATCTTGACCTTAATAAAAGTTGATTATAATTTTGTTTTTTTTTATTACTTATATTAATGATTATAAGTAATATATATAATGAAGGCTAATTATTAATGATGTGATATAATTCAAATGAAAACAACAATAAGTAACAATTCGTTTTTCTTTTTCGTTAGAATTATGTTTAAGTAGACTATCATAAAGACTTATACAACATTATCAAGTCATAATGAAATCATTAAATAATCAGTACTATTGTGATGTGTACTATTGATGTTGATAGATATATAAGTAGTATGTATCATCTATCGAAAGCGAAATATCTGACAGCAGAAAGTTAGGAAGATCGAAGAGAAGAGAACGCGAACAAAGAATGATTGATGTGGAAATGAAGGAACAATGAGTTTTGAGACGATTGATCAACATTTTGTAAATGAATTATTTACTGTGTGGTTCTTAGATTTTACCAAGATATTCTGTAATTTTGTATTCTTGTGTTCTTGTTCACAGCACTGTGATTAGGGTATAACAATGATTTCAGATTAACTAATAATGTCATTATTCTTTATTAAAGAAAGTGTATATACAGTTGTTTGAAGTGTGAACTGGTTAAAATCTGTCACACAAACAACAAGGCAACAATTCATCTTATAACCGATTGTTTGTCTTTGTGGTTTTTAAAAGAGCAAGTCTTATGTATAAAATGATTTCCGAAATTCTTTTATTTATTTGTCACAAACCTGTGTGCCGTATACTTTGTATTGTCCTTTTCTTACGTGATATTTCGACTAAATTTGTATCGCACACTACAGACTAACTTCAGTTAGAATTAATTAGCTAGTCCTAGTGTGAAGCCGTAACAAACATGAGGCGTTAAACACATATGACCAATGGGAATAAATAGTGGTTCCACAGTATTTCGAGTTGATAGAAGTTAAGAATTTAGAATGATTAGATATCAAATCTGTAGTATTAATGATGGATCTTAGGTCTTGGGTTCCAATTCTTAAGTAATAGTAGTTGGGGATTTTGATATGTTCTGTACTAGGACGTAACAACTGACTAATACATCTTGGGATTCACTAGTCGGCCAACTGGAATCAGTCTGTAAAACAGTCTTAAAACTATGCAATCTCATAATGTCTTTTTTCCTAATAACTTTATTCGAAGGTTAAGGTTTATAATAGTAATTCATAAGTAACGATCACTCGATACTGATATGAAGTGACGGTAAATATATAAAGTATTTATTAGATTTTCTTATGCTGTGCGAACCATATCATTTTTTTGAGGGGTTTAAACTACACTGTATATAGTTATTGTGCGAAGAATAAGTTGGACATCTGGTGTAACGGATTCAAATATTAGGATTTGTATAGAATAAGGTGTGCATATGAGATTATATTTTTATGTGGTAAACTAGTATTTGTGCTTATTCTTATGAAGTTGACAACAATATGTCAAAGACATAACTTTGCCAGTTACATCGATATAAAGTTGTTTTTTGAACTGTATACTTGAATAGTTATTCGTTTGTCACAATAGTCGGAGATTTATCAGAAACTAAGATTCAGAACATAATAATTAGTAATAAACTTCAATATATTGGGTATGAAGACACAAGATACACAAATATTGCTCTCATCTGGCAGGATCACCGGGTAAGTAATAGTAAGAATAGACGCAGAGTATTGGAGGATGATGCTAAATCAGTTGATGGCGTTGTGAATCTTAATCGACTGAGATGATTGGGCCACGTGTTACGTATGCCTGAACACCAATTACCACGACGCGCGATGCTGACTAGTGTTGGGGATGGTTAGTAG